TAAAAACTCAGTTTTGATCTCCACCATGAGCCCTGGATCCAACTGCCTATTCAGAATTCTCCACTTGAATATCTAAAAGAGCTCCCAGCACTGGTTTATGAAAGCTGAACTCCCATTCCCCCACCATTTAAACTAAAGTTACTCCTATTTTAGTCTTTACCATTTCATTAAGTGGACGCAGCATTCTTCTAGTTGTTTCAGGAAAAACAAAACATAACAACAACAGAACCAGAACAGCAACGAAACAAACTTGAGAGCCATCTTCAATTCCTTTCTCTTATTCAACTTCTATGTCTCATCAAGTAGAAAATTTTACTGGTGCCCCAAATTTTAGCATTTTATGCCACATTTACGAGTACCACCCTGGTCCAAACTACCATCATCTCTCACTTGAATTACTGCAAAAGCTTTCTCTCTGAATTCCCTGCATCCAACTATGCCCTGTCCATCTGTTCAACACATAAAAACCAGAGTAATCCTTGTTAAAAAGGGTAGTTTAGGGTATGCCATACCTCTGCTCAAGAAATCTTCGATGAATCTTTTTTTTCTTTTAGAGTAAAACATGAACTTATAATGCTCTACATTACCTGGTGGCCCCACTATCAGTCGAACTTACTCACCTTCCATCTTTGCTTGGTCACTACACAACACCTTCCATTCTTGGAACACATCAAACTTGCTGTTTCCTCTGTCAAGAATTCTCTTCTCCAGACAGCCATGTGGCTCCTGTCTCTGGCAACAGGCTCCCAATGTCTAATGTCTCTGTTCAGCTGTTGTTGGATTTCAGAGGTCTTCCCTGGCCTCTATTCTTATTGCCCTCACCCTGCTTTATTTTACAGTGTAAAAATTTATTACCACCTATCATATATATTTATTTATACTTATTTCTTTCATGTTGCCTCTCTTTCACCCTTCTCTCAGGATATAATTCTTTTATAACAAGGAACTTTGTTCTGTTCATTGCTGTCTCATAAAGGTCTAGAACATTTCCTGGCACTTAGCAAGGTTTCAATAAATATTTCACCAATGAATGAATACACTTAACAGCAAGTTGTTTATTGAACAATAAGTTGGCTTCAGATCCTGTTCTAAGAACTGTATATACAAATAGTCATTCTTCTCATGAAACTTACATTGTAACTTGAACATCATCAACCATGTCACATATTGTGTGCATTGTTTGCTCATTGTCTCTAATCACCTTGACCTCAGGTGACAGATGTCCTATCTAGCTCACGGGTCCAGCATCATTTCTTGCTTCCAGGATTAAAGCCTCTATGCCTGACCCCTTATTTCATGGGTGGGGTCAGAATTCAACTTGAACATCAGCTCACTTTACTATGACCTGGCAGTCTGTTGACCTCTAGTTGGTGTCCCCATGCCTGGGAAGTTGGTTTATTCTTCAACTCTACCCACATCTACTGACAAATTCTGAATAGCCTCATCATCTAAAATGCCACCGTCGCTAGGTCACTGTGACATAAAGTACACACATTTATAACTCTCTTGTGGGTAACACCAACTACTGTGGCAACAACAGCCTTACAAGCAACATTGCTATGGAACCTTAAGAGTAAGCTGGCTTCAGGCATACCTACTTCCACATCTCTGGCTCATGTCCTGCCATGGAAACAATGAAAGTGCACAGTAACTGAACATCTATCTCATCAAATGCCAGATCCTAGAAGGCTCTTGTTTCTTCCTGCTACCAGTGGGTTCTTTATTTGCCTCCTAATCTGATTATAGAAAGATAAACTGCTAATTTAAAACTGACAAGTAGGGATTTCCCTGGTGGCACAGTGGTTAAGAATCTGCCTGCCAATGCAAGGGACATGGGTTCAAGCCCTGGTCCAGGAAGATCCCACATCCCACATGCCACGGAGCAGCTAGGCCCGTGCACTGTAGCTACTGAGCCTGTGCTCTAGAGCCCGGAGCCACAACTACTGAGCCCGTGTGCCACAACTGCTGAGGCCTGCACACCTGGGGCCCATGCTCACCACAATGAGAAACCCGTGCACCACAACAAAGAGTGGCCCCCGCTCTCTGCAACTAGGGAAAGCCAGCATGCAGCAACAAAGACTCAACACAGCCAATAAATAAGTAAATTTATTAAAAAATAAAACTGACAAGTACCTTTTTTTCTCCCCTCTTTGAATCTTTACTTATTTGATACAAGAAAGAACACTCATACTCAGAAGAACTGTTTCAAACAAGACATCGACATTGATTAAACATACACCCCCCCACACACACACAGACACACACACAGGGTGGGTGACTTCTCCTGCCCTTACTCTGTTCTTAAGCAGGGCTAGACTACAGTTTTATATTGTGTTGACAGTGTGATGTGGAAGCAAAATTGTTCAGATCGTTTGGGACTTTTTCAATTCAATGTGTGATCTGAACTATCTTTATGTTTATGGCTTGTAATATAATTCTAGAAAATATTGCTTTGTTAATGTAGCAGGAACTAATACAAAGTTTACTTAACTGAATTTCCTGGACCTCATTTACCATGCAATGACAGGGTTTTGCTGTGTCTCCACCTACCTAAATTCCAGGCCCTGTCCCCTGGACTTTTGACTCCTTGGAATTGTTGGTTATGCCCCTTTGAACACTTGACCACTTAAAATGAGTCATTTTTACTTTCTTAATATCTATGGATCTTTAGATAGAAACTTTCTGAGGTTGTTGATGAAACACAGAAGCTAATAATACAGTGATAAGCACCCTGGGGTGCTCTGTACAATCTAATAGAACTATTCAGCAAATAATTTTGTCTCTATGCTTAGAGAAAAGAGTGAATTATGTTTAATGGCAAGATTGGGAAACTTTAGATTTTAGAGATGAAGTTATTTTAGAAATCACGTAGGATAACCTTTTTTGTTCTGAGTTTCAGAAACCTCAGACTCACAAAAGTAAATTAAAATGTTTACATACATATAGAAGTTCAGGGCTTCCCTGGTGGTGCAGTGGTTAAGAATCTGCCTGCCAGTGCAGAGGACACGGGTTCAACCCCTGGTCTGGGAAGATCCCAAATGCCTCAGAGCAACTAAGCCCACATGCCACAACTACTGAGCCTGTGCTCTAGAGCCAGAGCTCCGCAACGAGAGAAGCCACAGCAATGAGAAGCCCGTGGGCACCACAACGAAGAGTAGCCCGCTTGCCCGAAGACCCACTGCAGCCAAAAATAAATAAGTAAAATAAATAAATGTATAAAAAATACATCTTGGTTAAAAAAAAAAAAAGTTCATCAGAGGTACTTAGCAGAAAAAAAAAAAAGTTGTTCTAAGAAAGGGCACTTAGTGCATCCTAGAAAGGAACCTGTGATACCAACTAAAATTAGGTAGAAATAAAAAATAACATATCTCAGAATAACATCTGCAATTATGAATATGTTTATCAAGCATGCCATTTTACAAATCTTTGTGTACCAGGTAATAGAACAGATTTCCATTTGAATAGTCCAGAGAAAAAAGATGACACTCTTT